TTAGCTCGCAGCTTCATTGTGAATCCTAAATTTTGACATGTAACTTTTTATGTTAGAGATGATCATTGAAAGCAATAACTCAAGAGCAGGGTTTGGGGGAACAAATTCTTTAAGGCATAATGTCTTTAAGTGCTGTCAAGTTAAGTTCTGACTCATAGCAACTCTATATAGTGTGTCTCAGGGGCTATTTGTGAGTTTGAACCCCTTACCTTGTGGTTAACCGTTCAGTGCTTATCCTACAGCACCACAGCAAGCCTCCAATAGTGTCTGAGTGATGTTAAATACTCAAAGTTTCTATGGGGAGCAGACAGGTAACGCAAGTAACCACAAGGAAGTGTGTGAGACCCCATTGGTCTCCCAAGTTTTAGAAAAAAGCTAGAAATTTGGATTTTTACATAAACCTGGTTTTAAATATGTGTAGAATTTCTTATTTAACTTTGGTTGTTAGGTGCAGTCCAGTCTGTTCCAACTCATAGCCACATTATGAACTGAAACACTGTCCAGTTCTCTGCCTTCTTCACAGTGGCTATGTTTGAACACAGCCACTGTGCCCGTCCATCTTTCTGCATCTTCATTTTTGATGATCCTGTAGCAAGTATACCCTTCTCCATGGACTGGTCCCTCCTGATAGCATGTATAGAGTACGTGAGACAAAGGCTTGCCATCCTTTTAAAGAGCATTCTGGCTGTACTACTAAGACAAAGTTTTTTGGCAGACTCTTTAACAACACTGTGGTTCAAATGCGACAATTCTGTCTTTATTAAAATTAAGCGCAGTTAAGGGTGTTCAGATTTATAGTGACTCTATATAGGGTTTCTGAGGAACGACTGGTGGGTTTGAAACACCGACCTTGGTTCAAACCGACCTTGCGGTCCAGTGCTTATCCTACAGTGCCACCCCAGAGCTCATTGTAGGGCCCGAACTAAACGGTTGTCAACAGAATAGGAAGGCCAGAAAGTTAATATTTGGTGTGGCCAAATGTTTGCCAAGTTAATGGCCAAAGAAAAAGCTACATTGTAAACAATATACACTATGCACATTAATAGGGTAAGTTTTAGTGCTGCTTAGATTGGTTTTCACAAAGGGCAGTGGGTGTCCTGGGTGGAACTTGTGCCTCTTGCGCCACGTATCCCAGTGTTCCCAGACAATGTCCGTTTATGTTCTTTCGTGTGCTATTACGGGCTTGCTGTGGACGATGGCCTTTTTTTTTTTCCATCTGGTGGGCTTAATCAAATCTTTTATGTTACCTTCAATCTTTTCAGCCCTACCCAAACCAGGCTTCCTCCTTAAGGCCAAGTCAACACAAAGCTTACTGTTTGAGACAAAGGGCTAAACTGTGGGACTAAACGCTTTTCGCATTTATTGCCGGCAGTGCGCGGGCTCTACATATCTAAGGGATGGAACCTAACAGAAAACTCTCCTTACTCTGGAGCAAGCGCCTCTGCTGGTCGCCAGTTTTGCCCTTGGATGGCAGTCCACTCTAGGCGGAGATTTACTCTGCAGGCGTTCCGCCTTCTGGTAACTACGGGCAACCTTGGGCCTCAGGATGTGACATCAACATTCTTCCTCCTTGTTCTTCCGTTTCTCGACGGAACCTCTCAGCAACCGGATTCGGTTGTTGTGTACGTGGAAGAAGTCGGCGCATGCGCAGGTCGGCCCTCCGCTTCAGCTGTGCGGGAAGGGCTGAGGACAACATCCCGGGCTCGGGGGAGACGCTCTGGGTCATGACCACCCTCTGACAGAGCTTGCCGAGTGGAGGAGGAGGCAGGACCGTCCCGCTGCACCCTCCTCGGGCCTGAGTCCGGTCGGCCTGGCCCGTGGCTTTCTTGCCTGGAGTTGCCGCCGTAACTGCGGGCTGAAGAGGGGAGATGAGTTGGTTCAACGCCTCCCAGCTTTCCAGCTTCGCCAAACAGGCTCTGTCCCAGGCCCAGAAGTCCATCGACAGGGTCCTGGACATCCAGGAAGAGGAGCCGAGCACCTGGGCCGAGACCATTCCCTACGGAGAGCCGGGTAAATGAGGGCGATGCGGAGTCCGTGGGCTCCGTCCGGCAGGCACACAGATTAAGTTATAGAGAGAGGAAGGGAGAATTTAGTGCAAGTCAATTTCTCCCCGGTCCCTTCCCATTCCCATTAGGATGCTGCTTTAGTGTGCCAGTTGATCATTGCTTTTTTTCCCCAGGTTCCTTCTTGCCCTTGGCTGGCATCGATGATGGGCAGATGAATTGGTGGTACCCCTAAGCCCTCCCTCGACACAGCTCCAGGCGTGTTGTTGTTGTTAGGTGTCTTCGAGTCCTTGCCAACTCTTAGCGACTCTGTCTCTGCTCAACAGGCCGAGAAACACTGCCCGACCCTGCACAGTTGTTACATTTCAGCCCATTGCTGCTGTCACTGTGCCAATGCATCTCCTTGTTCTAACGCTTTTTCGCTGACCCTCCACTTTCCCAAACATGATGCTCTTCTCCAAGGACTTCTGGATAACATGTCCAAAAGTTCATGAGACGAAGTCTCCCCAGCCTCACTTCTAAGGAGTGTTCTTCCACAGAGTAGCCTTCCTGAAACTCGAATTGCACCCACGCACGGATGGCACTTTTTGGTGCCCAGATCTGAAATATGCTAATCAACAGTAATAGGAGGAACACTGGCTACCATTTAGCGAGTACTTCTTGCTTGACAGCCCATAATGTACTCTATGTCTTTCTCATCTCCAAAACAGATCTTGAGGCAGGTTCCTTATTTTCACTGTTTTAAGGGAGCCCTGAAAGGCTTAAAAGTACTTTGCCCTTGTTCACACAGTGAGTAAGTGGCCCAAGGATTTTGGTTTCCCTGACAGTTTTTAAATTCTAAATTGCTAAATCTCTTATCAGATTCATGATGCATAACCTTGCAGGGATCTTTGCCTTTTGGTTCTAAGGAAGTTTAGCCTTTTGCTGTGTGGGGTAGATTTGCATGTTTGGGGGTGTGAACCTTTGTAGGAGGAAGAAGTATATGATTCTTGACTTTTGGCTTCTTGCTGATTTCTGTTTATAATTCTGCATCTTGAAAAGTGAGAGCTTCAACTTGAGGTGACTTGATTGAAGCTCTTTGGAATCCTGCTTTTCTGTTCCACAGAATGTTTTATGAGTTGCTGGAATAGCTCAGTTTCCTTTTTCTTAGCTAACCCACTTTTTCAGTGACCAAACTTTAGAGGAGAGTGAATATATCTAAATATAAAAATACTTGTTTTGTGGAAACTGGGGCTTGAATCCTGCTGCATTGCTTTATAAAACAAATTATCCAGTATAGTCTCAGGTTTTTAGTAAAATGTTACCAGCATGCATTGATCACCTACTATGTCTTTGATTGCAGTCATTCAAATGCAACTGTAATTCTTCAGAATGGAGTAATTTTAATGGATTATCAGATAATCCTGGCATTTATATAAATTATTCTCCAAGAAGTAAATTAGATGATAATAAATGTATTCATTTGCATCTTTAATTGTCATTCTCTACTTTTGAAAATTGTGTTCATATACTGCACAAATGGACATAAAGCCATACACTCCCAACTGAAATTCCATGCACACTTTCCGTTGTTCGTCATATTAAAGCAAAAGCTTTCATAGCACCTGAGAGTTGAGCTTTATGCATAGGTACGTGAGCTCTCACCACCAACTTCTAAAATAACTCTGTCCAGCCACTTTAAAATGTAGACGAGGAAGAAAGGCCTGTTTAAAGGAATGCTTTTAAACATTTTAACCAGTATGCCAGTTTTGTTCATCACGGCACTCTTTAGTAGTGTCTGTTTTCAGGACAATACAGTAATGACTTTTCCCCCCCAGAAGATGGGTTTTTCCTTAGTGGTATATATTATTTTAAAATAATCCTAGTGTAAACAGTAGAACCCATGGGTGGTGCAGACACTATGTGCTTGGGTATTAACAGAAAGGTTAGCGGTTGAAATCCTCCCAGAGGTGCTTCGTAGTGAAGTCTTGACAATCTGCCGCTGAAAGATGACCATCATTGAAAATCCTGTGTAATACAGTTCTGCTGTGGCACGCAGGTCACCTGCCATCTATATCAAAAACTATCATTCTTGTTTTTAAAATGCATGTTGAAGTTTTTCATAGTGACAGCCTCCTAAGTCCTGACATACGAGTCCGGGTGCGGTGAAGCTGTAGGAGAATCAGTGGAATGTGGGAAAAGAACAAACTTTCTGTTACAGTAGGTTTGGAAAATGGGACTTGAAGGATGGGCTTGTTGTATTGTTGTTTGGTGCTGTTGAGTGTGTTAAGACTCGTAGCAACCCTGTGTAAGGTTTCCAAGACTGTAAATCTTTACAGGAGCAGAAAGCCTCATCTTTCTCCCGTGGACTTTGTTTATAGGTGTTTAGCTCAGTGCTTATCCCAGGGTTCCCTGCGCTTGTCATTACGTTGATGGAAATGAAGTTGTTCTATAGAATTTACTCTTCCCATCAATTCAGTTTTATCTTTGGAAAAGGACTTTTGTCACTAGTATTTAGGGCCCATCTTTTGGGTGTTTCCCGCTGTTTAGATTATAACTTTTGTTGTTGATATTACAATAGTGAAATTAACACGAATAGCAGGTAGTTAATTAGTTCTTTATTTTAAAGTAGAGTTCTTTTACAGTCGCCTGTAAGTGAAATATATGTTCTTGTGAGAGGAAGCATAGGTATCTTGGACTTATCATTGGTTATACAACAAATACTATTGCTTTCTTAATTTACTGTTGGAGGAAATGAAATACTTGCTTCTGGTAGGCCAGACCTGGTTGAGTCTTCTGCCTCTGTTTCTAGGCTAGCCCTCTTTGGACCATATCCACACTACTTTTCCCCATTAAGGTCCAAGTTAACCTGAGAATAATTTATTATGATGGAGTAAGCAAGGAATTTAACAGATGCAAATTACAGTTTATATGAGGGGGCTTCAGAAAGTTCATGGAAAAATGGAATTAAAAAGATCATAGAATTTTTCCACAAATTTATGAAGGCCTCTTGTGTTCCAAAGGTTTTCTTTCTTTTTATTTATATTACATTGTATCATAATAAATAACAAATAGTAACGTTATGTGTGTATATATATATAGATAGATAGATATTTATTTATTTATTTTTTTTAAATCAAAGGAATCAACCCCTCTGTTAGTGGAGGATGGGACACTTCAACTTGGGGCTTGCAATCCAACACTGAACCTCAGAATCCACCAATAGCCTCTCCTAAAGCAATTACAAAGCCGGTCCGGAGGACTGTAGTAGATGAATCTGAAAATTTCTTCAGTGCCTTTCTTTCTCCAGCCGATGTGCAGACCTTTCAGCAGAGTCCAGTGGTATCAACACCTCCGGCGAAATCACAACGACCGGAAGAAGGAGTGAAAAGTGCTTTACAGGAACCCTTGCACAGTGGGCACTCAAGGACACCTGAAGCCCCTGAGGTCCAGGTAAAAGACCCTGCTCTGTGTGCGTTGGGGGAGACCTTGGCAGTGGACGCGCTCTCTCCTGAACCTGAAGGCAAGCATGAAGACGTTGTTAACAAAGAGTCTGAAGTGAAGGTGACAGTTGGACCTTTGAAAGTCCCTGATAGTGTCATCGCTGTGACAGCAACTCCAGAGAGCGCATGTCCTATCTCCACACAGTCTCTCCTAAGAGAAAGTAAGGAAGCAGCTTTGGAACCCAGGGAACAAAAGCATGAAGACAGACAGAGTAATACTCCTTCTCCTCCGGTCAGTACCTTCTCGTCAGGTACTTCTACCACCAGTGATATTGAAGTGTTAGATCACGAGAGTGTAATAAGCGAGAGCTCGGCAAGCTCGAGACAAGAGACCACAGAGTCCAAATCAAGTCTCCACTTGATGCAGACATCTTTTCAGCTTCTCTCTGCATCTGCTTGTCCTGAATATAATCGTTTAGACGATTTCCAAAAGCTGACTGAAAGTGGCTGCTCCTCCGACGCATTTGAAAGAATCGACTCCTTTAGTGTGCAGTCATTAGACAGCCGGAGTGTAAGTGAGATCAATTCAGATGACGAATTGTCAGGCAAGGGCTGTACTCTAGTACCTATTATAGTTAACTCTTCAACTCCAAAGACTAAAACAATTGAGCCTGTGGAAGGAAAATGTGAAGAAGAAGTCAATGAAACAGTTATCCCCGCTGAGGAAACAGAGATGGAGGAAAGTGGACGCAGTGCAACTCCGGTTAACTGTGAACATTCTGATGTCTTGGTGTCCTGTCCACTAGTAAATGAAGGCCAGGCTGTCTTAGAGCAGGAGGCCGAGCAGAGCGAAGCTGCTGAAAGCCAGCCGGAAGGACTGTCTGAAAAGGAAGATGTTTGCAAGGTAATTCCAGAAAGTAGAAGGGGATTTTAGGATATGCTTTTCAGAGATAAAGTAATTTTAGAAATATTTTTAGTGATATATTATGACTCATATTGATTAAATCCAAGTCCATTCTGACTCATAGCAACCCTATATAGTTTCCAAGGGTATAAATATTTACAGGAGCATGAAGTCTTTTGGAGAGACTGATGGGTTAGCAGTTGAGAGCTTTCCCCTATAACCCCACCAGAGCTCTTTCTTAATGGTTAAAAAAGATCACTGTTGTACCATTTCACTGTGGCCTTTAAGACCTTAAAATTCAAGAACTAGTGATAATTAAATGATTTGAAATAGCTCCAAGAGCACTATTATAAAGTAAATGGATGTTTCACTCTAAAGAATCATCAAAAAGTTAACCATCTTACTTCATTCTTTGTTGTGGTTGTTAAGTACCACCAGTGAGTTACATCACATTGCAACCGTGTATAGGGTTTCTGAGGAGCAGCTGGTGAGTTTGAACTGCCGACCTTGGAGTTTCAAGCACCCTTGCAGTCCAGTGCTTTATCCTGCAGCGCCACAGCAGGACTCCACTTTGTTACTGTTGTTGTTGTTGTTATGTGCCGTGGAGTCAGCTGTATATTTTTACAGGAGCAGAAAGCCTCATCTTTCTCCCGCAGAACAGCTGGTAGTTTCGAACTGCTGACCTTGCAGTTCGCGGCCCAATTCGTAACCACTACGCTACCAGAGCTCCTTACTAGAAAGTCTTTATCACCTTGAAAGTCTCTCATGCTAATGAGTGTGTCAGTTTACAAAGGCCTCCCTTGCTTGTCTTCTTATTTTAACATTCCTTTGTAGAGAGATCTTCCATTCCTTTGTAGAGAGAGCTATCAAACCAATCTAAATATGAATGGTTTTTCATATATCAGAAAATTTTTTTCTTGTATGTTCATATTATTGATAATAAACCTTAAATTACAATGTAGTCTTTAGATTTATTACTGATGCTTTTCTGGTGTTATTAATTACTTAGTTTGTTTTCTGTTTGTGCTATTTTTGATATTTCTTTTTGAGAGCTATCTTACATGAATAAGAAAGGGAAATGTCCAAGGAACAAAGTTATTCCTTAGGAATGACCAAGCGCTTCTACCAAATGACATACAAAAGGGAAGCGGCTTAAATTCTTTAATTAACATTAAGCCACATTTTTGTTTTTTCCTTTGATTTTTAAATATAGAAATAAAATTTGAATCTGGATCCTGTGAAATTCAGGATGTCTTGAAGAAATGTCCTCTCAGTGCCACACACTGCATTATTTAATTACAAAAAAGTGCCAGGTTCTGTTCCCTACCCGTGCATACTGTGTTTTAAAGCTGTAGTCCCAAAATCCAGCACTAATTACTATCAGTAAGAGCATGTTGAATGATTTGCAGCACACATAAAGAGGTAACTGATTCCTACAGTAATCTTGGATTTAACTTAGATAAGAGTGTATTTTGATTCTCAAAGACACTCTCCTTCCCCTTATACACAAGTGTATTAATACCTCAGCAAGAGTAAAAGAAAGACCTACTCTAAGCATTGCTTTTCTGCTTAGCTTTATACTGACATATTCTGGAGACTATAAAATTAAATGCCTAATGGTTTTCAAAAGCTTTTATTTTTCTAAATCAAATGTATTGTATTAAGAAAAGTATATATTTTATATTTGGGTTACAGAGTATTATATAAAAACTCACTCATATGCCCACTGTCAGACGAATGCGATGCTTCTATATGAAAAGAACTAGACTGTTCCCACAAGGTCCATGGTTCAAGCCTGCCAGCCTCTCTGCAGGAGAGCGATGAGACTTCTGCTCCCACAAAGATTTGAAAAGCCTCAGAAACCCTATGCAGGGTTGCTATGAGTTGGAACTGACTCGATGGCACTTAACAACAGTAATACTCATTGCTCAGCTTAGATATAGCACTTTACCAGAGGCTTTGAATCCATATCTTTGAACTTTCCTGATTGCATTTTTCTCTCTATGTCTTTGGTGAACATATGGATTGCTACCAGATTTTTGCTGTTACAAACAAGCTGCTACAAATGATGTCACCTACTGTGTAAATGTAAGATTGTTCTCCTATGTGGTGTACCGAGAGTAGAATTTTCTTCATCAATATCTAGCTCTTCAACTAGAGATTGCTTAATTGTTTACAAAAGTTGTACCACTTTATACTCTATGAACTATGGGGTTCTATTGAAGTATACTCCTAGCTAGATATGTGTTCTTGTTCTAAAGTCATTAGATTCTTAATACTGTTTTTAATTCCTTTTATGTGTGAATGTTATTTTATTTATTAGAATGATTGAATTGCCTTTATACCTCATCACTTGCATTTAAAACAGTCTTTTAAAGTTAATGTTTTGACCTTTATGCTTTTGCTTTATTCAGACAGTTGATTTTCTGAATGAGAAACTGGAAAAAAGAGAGGCTCAGTTGTTATCTCTTAGTAAAGAAAAGGCCCTTCTCGAAGAAGCCTATGATAATCTGAAAGAGTAAGTAGTTCCCCAAGGTGAATAATTGTTTCTGCACATTTTGTAAAGGTTTACATACTTTATTATTAAGAAGAAATGCTTTTTTCAATTAAACTGGCTTGTAACTTGTTTATAATTATTGAAAATTGTATAGCATTTCAATTCTAACCTTAGAAGAGATTATATTTCTTCTCAAATTGTCTTAATTAGATTGCATTTGACATTGAAAACAGGTGTTTTGCAAAAACAAAACAACCCAACTCTCTCTTCCCCTTTATTAATAATAAATTTTTAATAGGAGATTCTAAACAGTCATATTTAAGAAAAGTATGATATTGTAATTGAAAAACACTGAGTATTGGTTTGTTTCAAAGAGATGTCTGGGAAATCACTACAGAAAAGGATCCAAAAGTGTCTCCCTAAGCGAAAATAATTACAAAGGCATTTCAGCTTTCAGAAATGAACAATGATGCTTTTTGATTTTTTTTGTGTGTGAAATATTGGTAAAGTTTTCACGTTTTAATGGGTTTTCTTTGAGGTGTGTTAAATAAATTTAGCAAGTAATTTTCTCTTAAAAGTTAATAGGTCTTAAACTGGTCTGCTTTAACAAAATATATACCGGAGACAGTGGTACCATCTTGTAAGAAGTGAGTTCATCATGTTACCTTTGGAATATTTAAACAGTGTCCTCATTCTTTAACGTCTTTTTGACTCTAGTGAGATGTTCAGAGTGAAAGAGGAGAGCAGTAGCATCTCCTCCTTGAAAGATGAGTTTACTCAGAGAATTGCAGAAGCAGAAAAGAAGGTTCAAGTAGCCTGCAAAGAGAGAGATGCTGCTAAAAAGGTGAGGAGAGTTTAAAATACTACTACAACTGTATCAAGATATCGAATTTTGAGTAATACATTCATAATATTTTGGGATTGGAAAAACATAAAATTAAAGAGATATCAAGTCATACATTAATGCTTCAATTATAGCTTTTGTAGCATATTTAAAAGTGCAGGTTTGATACATGAAGAAATCAGAATGTACATTTATTGGTATAAATTTATATAAATCCTTATAAGGTATATAACAACAGTCATCTTTTTGTAAATGATAATTCCATCAGAATAAATAACAGATCTCAGTTGTTGTTGTTATATTAAATACTGTTGAATTGGTTCCAACTTAGAGCAACCCTATATAGGGTTTCCAAGGAGTGGCTTGTAGGTTTGAACAGCCGACCTTGTGGTTATCTGTCTAGTGTTTATTTTATAATCCAATATCAGATCTCCTATATATCAGTGGCACTATATAATACAAAGATTTTTATCAATAGTCTCATTTACTATTTTCCTACCACTTCAAACGTACCTGCTTATTCTAGCCAAACTAATTTTAAAGTTTAAACTTATGATAATAGCTAATTCCTTCTTGGAAGGCATTATACTGATTTATCCTAATGTTGGTTTTCTCAGCCTTGTCATTATTGACATTTTGGGCTGCATAGTTTTAGGTTGTGTGGGGTTTAGCAGCATCCCGGGCCTCCACCCACAAGATGCCAGTAACAACGTCCCACTCCAGTTTTGACAACTGAAAATGTCTTCAAACATTGCCAGTGTCCCTGGAAAGCAAAATGAGCCAACTGGAAACCACTGTGGTAGTGCTTTTAATATTGAGCAGTTGATTATCATAGCAGGTGGTGACCAAACTAAGATCAGATCTCAGCTATTAGTAATCACACTGACTTTAGCATTGACCTTTCTCCATTAGTTTGCTTTCTACTTAATATTTCTTAGCTTCAATGTTAACGCTAGTATGTATCTTTTTTCTGCATATATTTTTACAGAAAATAAATGTCATACACGTCCATCGACCTTTTATTAACTGACTTACTTCAGACCCTAACAACAACCTGAGACTATTTAACTAACTATTCCTCTTTCTGCCCTTACTGTATTTCTTCTAAACCAGTCTATTTAAGAAATTCGTTTTTAGGTAGTATTTTTCATCAGCACTTTCAGAACCGTAGACCTAAAATGGATCCAAACCATTAACAATATGTGGCACAATTTAGGTACAACTCAGTTTACACATTGTCTGTGTAATACCATATATAGCTTAGCCTCCTGCTTCGTATATACAGGAAATGCAAAAATGAATTGAATTACCTTAAGTGAAGAATTTATTTTACGAGTGATGGGAGACTGATCATTCCAACAACTGTGTCCTCATAGAGAGACCTGGAGTGCTGCTGTTGGATAAACATCGGACCACAACGTTGGTGTGAACTGCAAGGTGGCCAGTTCAAACTCACCCGGTGCTCTTCAGAAACATTATACAGGGTTGCTGTGAGTTGGAACTGAATAGATGGCATTTAACAACAACAGCATGTACTGCTAGAGAGTCCTGGTGTGGCTCTGTAGAATAAGTACTGGACTGCTAACCGCATGGTTGGTGACTCAACCCCACCAGCTGCTCCATGGGCTTTTTGCTCATGCAAAGATTTGCATCCATGGAAGTTCTGACCCACATAAGGGTCGTTATGAGTCAGAACTGACTCGCACTTAACAACCAAATACTTATTACTGGAGAGAAGGACATCATGCTCGGTAAAGAGGGTCAGCGATAAAGAAGAAGACCACCAACGAGCTGGATTGGCACAGTGGTAGCATCAGTGGGTTCAAGCAAGGCCCCGATTGTGAGGATGGCGCAGACCCAGGCGTTGTACTTGGGGTTGCTGTGAGTCAGTGCCGGCTTGATGACACCTGACAATAACAACAGAGAATTACACAAGTCCTGGTATGGCGCTGTGGATTAATGTGCACAGTCGGTTTGAACAGTGGGGCTGGCAGTTCAAGCTTACCAGCTGCTCCTCAGTAACAAGGCTGCTATGAGTTGGAACTGACTCGATGGCACTTACCAACAACATCAACAAAGATAGAGATAAGTAAACAGTTTGGAATGGTACCAAAGAGGATACATTCCAATATGGGGACTTGAGGGAGGTTTAATGGAAGACATGCCATTTGTATTCAGTCTTCAGGAATTAAACAGATTTTGACAGATAGTTATAACCGAGTTGGGAATGGTCCAGAGCCTGGACTGTGGTGACTCCCAGACCTGGATTCAAGTCGTAGCTCTGTTATTATAGTTAAGTGTCGTTGAGTCAGTTCTGACTCATAGCGACCCTACTATAGGGTTTTTAGGAGCAGCTGGTGAGTTTGAACTATTGACCTTGCGGTTCAGACCAACATTGCAGTCCAGTGCATTAACCCTCAGCGCTCCACCAGGAGTCCAGTCCTAGCTCTGCTACTCATGAGCTGTTAACCTTCACAGCTGATTCCATTGGAGTGTTCCTTTCCTCTTTCATGTTGTTTTTATGTAGTACCACCCTCACAGGATTGTTGTAAGGGAGACATGATAATGGCTACAAAGCAGCATTTAAGCACGGAATCAATGTTTATTGTTTGAGCTGGTATTTAGGGTTTAGTTTTAGATCTTCGTTTATAATCACATTTTAAATCATACAACACTTTTCACGTTACCATCTTCTCTGTTTCATTTTTTTTTTTTTTTCTTGTGAATTGAGTGAAGGTTTACAGAACAGATCATCAGTTTCACATTCAACAAATCACATACTTTGCTTCATTATATGGTTGCAGTCCCCTCCATGCACCAACAGTTAACATTTTCCTCTGTTCACTTTAACCACGCCATTCCTCCCTGTGTCTTCCACCACCCCCGATCTTTCCTCTGCCAACCTCCCTCTGGTTGTATATTTCTTGCCCCATCACCCATGTCAATGCGTGTCTGTCCTCTAGTGCATGTATAAAAAAACACCACACAGGGATATATTATCATTTAAACAACCACAGGGCATTTCCGGAAACCAGTCTCCTGAACGCCAGCACACAGCCTTTCTTTTTCCATGTGTCTAGAATCCATAGCTGCTCCATCTCTCTATGCCGTCACCTCTGCCTCCATTTCTGGTGTCGCTGCTTCTCTGGTTAGGGTCCCAAGTTCAGTTCATGCTCTTTTCAGATGATTGTCCTAGGGTCTTCTGTTTCTGGAATGTAAGATAACTATCCCTCCCCTCCCCCACTTTTGTTCCACAACCTCTATCTTTACAGTTGTGACAATCACAATTAGTCATGATAACAATTAATCACTACCGAATTAATGAACCCCATCCCCGTCTCCTTTTACCAGACCCATCTAGACAAGAGGAAAAGTACTCAGTGGGGAGTCTACCTTCCCTGCACGCTCTGAAACTAAATTCTCTCTTGAAAACTTGTAAGCCAGTCAACTTTGTGCTTTTATCTCCCCCTCCCATTTTAGGTAGCCAGTGTCTAAGTTGCCCATCTCTATCAACCCTGTGCACAGAGGGGATAGGTTTGATCCTTGATGTGAAAACTCCTTCCCTCTCAGTTGGTATTTTGATCTACTACATCCATAAGTATAGGTCAAGTTCATCAAATTGTAGTAGTTTACATTTGCTTCCTTTATCAGATTTCTTTATTTTCCTCTAGTCTAGTTCTGATCATCTAGCCATCGAAGCTAGGTCAGTTGGGTACTGTCTGCATGTTTGGGCATTCTTGTGCATTTCCATTCACTTCATATCAGCTGGATGCTTCACTCGCAGCTCTAGTGCTCCATGGCTAGGTACTTGTCCATGGGCTCAGGACTCCTCAAGTCTCATCACTCTTCGGACCAACCAGTCCTTCCTCTTTGTCTCTCATCTCAAGGTTGACGGGAATCTATGGAATGTGGTCGGACTCAGCCCATATCTTCATTGCTTCTCTGTTGTAGTTTTACAAGAGAATTCTCTCTTGACGTTTTTCCTTACTGAAGCTGTTTTGAAGCAGATTGGAGCCTTATAATCATGATTTTCCTTCTATTTCAGGTGCAAGGAGTTTCAGATGATGAAAATGAATATAGTGAAAAATGGAAACATATATACATTGAAATGTCTCAAATGTAACCTTTAGCTTGTAGAGTATGTTTAGAGATAGTGAAGGAAGGGTACTGAAAGTTAATTTGTTCTCATTTACATACATCTATTTTCCATATTAAAATCTGCTCCTATCTGAATTTAAGTTTTGCATGTCATTTTCAAAACTGTTTCCTTGGTATTAATTAACTAAGGTAATAAACTCAGTTGGCACAATGGGTAAGCACTCAGCTGCTCACTGAAAGATTGGTGGTTTGAACCAACAGTTCAAACCTGGGAGATAGGTAGGAGTGGCCATCAGCTTTCATCAAGATCCAACTTTGGAATTCCTGTGGGACATTCCTACTCAGGGTCACTTTCAGTCACCATCGACTTAATGACA